GATCGCTTTTGTTTTACTTTTCTAGACTTACACCTGGTCACGTCGTACTTGCTTACTGAATGCCGTGTGCGTAACTTGCGTGGAAAACGTGACGTAAGTCGTGCTGCCCAGCATCAGGCTCTGGTGCTGCCTGGAACCGTTAAGAGAACTGCCAAACGGTGCCATGGAATTGGAACACATAGAACCGGTTCTGAACAGGAACCGTATCGGCTGAACATGCTGTTCCTGAGGTTGGAAGTCCTGCCAATGAGAGGTCAGATGAAGAAGGGGGGGTTTTCGCCTGCTGCTGCACTCTCCCAGTCAGCTGGCTGAAAGGAGAACCGCACTGGTTGATCTTTCTGGACAGAGTCTCCTCCACAGAATCCCTGGCCTTCATTCTGGCTCAGTTCCAACGCTCCGGTCGGCCTGGTTACATGTCTGCCGTGTTTTATTGTATCAAAAAAAAAAACAACCAATAAATATTTGGTTTCTTTACTCCAGGTCACGCTGGTATCCAGAGAGTCAGAGGGTCCAGAGGAAACTTCGGCTGCAGAACACCAGTCAGGTACAGAAACAGCATCCGGATTCTTCCTGTGGATGAGGTCATCCCTCGTTTGCAGCCTCCTGTCAGCTCCTTAGTGAAAATGTTGGTTCTGATCAGTAAAGAATTGTAGTCCCAGTAAATCAAGCACAAGAAGAAACGTTTTGCACCCCCACCAACATGTTTCCAGCGGGTCAGGGCTGACTGATAGGAGGCATCAGACGGAGATGGATCGTCTCCACCGCCTCCCTCTTTATGAGGCCCCCAGACTGTCCTGCTCCCCCCCTGACTCCTGTCTTTGCTGATGGGTTCTCCTTGTTGCAGGTGCTCCTGAGGCGCCGAAGGGCCCACTGAACGAGAGCCCATTTTTCCTGCTGGGGAGGGTGGTCATGCAGCAGAGTTATGTCTGTGCCCTCATAGCCATGATGGTAAGCCTGCTTTCTCACACAAAGTCACATGATGATGCTGCAGCTCTGCGCTGAGCTGATAACCTGAAAGGATTCAATGACATCTGGTTTTCATGGTTTTTTTGTTTCTTTAGTGTGACTGATTGAACCCATAAATGGTTAATTTGTGTTCCTTAGAGATGTAATGGGTAGTAACTAATCTTGGTTTTAGGGTGAGATAATAAAAGGGCATAAATTAGTGCGACATCAGATGTTTTATCTGCTAGAATGGAAGTTTAGAAGTGAAAAATTTGCAAAAACACAAGAACAAATGTCACTTTTCTGACGCACCTGAAGGTTAAAATAGGTAGGGGAGGGAAATGGAATCATCAATTAAACTTTACTTAAATGATTTGATTGCATACATTGCTTTTTTTTTTGAGTAAACAAAGATTAGACTCCTAAGAATACAGACTGGAATGAAGATGATTACCACTGGGAGCGCGAAGAAATATAGAACAAATGTAATGATATAAAAGAGTTGCATTGAAACAATATATATGTATACAAATTATATCTGCAAATATCTTATATTCAACACCAAAAAGAACATTTTGCAAATTTCTAACTTCTAAACTTTTATTCTCTCAGCTGAAACATCAAAATGATGTTTGCATGAGTTAAAACCAGGAACAAATGCAGGTCTTTATTCATATTTATAAATTCTTGCAGTCTTTGCATATATTTTTATTGATGATTTATCTTATTCATAAGAATCTAAATTTGTTTTCATTTTAAAATAAGTTCAGTCACATTCACTACATTTTGTTTTATCCATTCCTTTACATCATATCTCAGACACCTGGAAAATAAAACAGACTCTATTATTCATTAGGATATGAACCTTCATAACAGAACACTGATTCAAACAGTCCAACTCCTGCTGACCCGGTTTGTGGTTCTGGTTGCATTTGTTCTGTGTTGTTCAGGTTTGGAGCATCACCTACCACAGCTGGCTGACGTTTGTCCTGCTGCTGTGGGCGTGTCTCATCTGGATGCTGCGTTCCAGGTACCATCGACACTGAGGACGTCTTCCTCTGTCAAACTGTTTGTCACTTTTTTCCTGTTGGGCAATTAATGGCAAC